TTTTCCCCAAGTTTGGTAATTTGCAAGAACAGCTCACAGAGCCCAGGCAGTTGCGTGATGGACTCCGTGGCTGGGTTATTATAAAGCACAGGACCCAGCCCAGCAGATGAAGAGGTGAGCAGGGCACAGCAGCAGGGACAGGGCGGAGTTTCTGTGCTCCTCTGGTATCACCCCGACCAGCCCAAAAGCTCTCCCACCTTGGGAGTTAGGGGCTTTATGGAGGCTTCATTAAGGAGACAGTATCAACTAGCCACTGTTCATTGGTGACTGGCTGGGCCTGCAGCTCCTCTCCCTGCCCTGAGGTCAGAGGGTTAGGCTCTAATTATGCAGTGGTCTTTCTGGTGACCCCCCACTGTGAAGCTGGCTAGGGGTCCCAGCCATCAGCCATCTCATCAGCACACAAATAGCATGGTATTCATCACTCCAGAGATTCTGAGGGTCAGAGGGTTGTGAGTGCATGGTGCCAGTACTGGACAGAAGCAGTGGACAATTTGAGAGTAGCCAGTCACTGCTCACCTTCGAGTCTCTTAGGTCACTTGTCCTGAATCAGACAGGGTTACTGTGCTGAAGAGATGGGCCACACCCTCCCACCAACCCTGGGTCCAAGGATAGGGCCCCACATTCCTCAACAGCACATTCAAGGCCTCATAATCCACTCCAGCTCCTCCCTGCCTGGTCCACCCCACAGCCGCGCCCTCATCCCCCACTGAGCTTTCACTGCCTCTGCCAAGGGGCTCGCTGTGCTATGCTCTCCAGCTGGTGGGCTCTTGCTGATCCTGAATGCCACCTCCCCCGGGACACCTGTGTGGGCAACAAGGACACAGAAACAAACCAAATGGACAGGGCCCTAGCCCTCCTAGCTCTCTGTGTGAGTCATTTTGTAGGCAGTGACTCATACCTGAGGCGTTCCCAGCCCCACATTCAGTCATCTGCATAGTGAGCTGTGTCTGAGCCTGTTTGTGGCCCAAGCGTCAGGCTGGGGGCACAGAGTGAATGAGAGGTTGTGTCCCTTATCCACAGTCTCTGCCTCAATGCCTGGCCCAGGTCTTGCCTTTAGGAACACCCTATATTTATTATTAGTTGAGGAATAAACCACCACCCACGGGAAGCATGTCCTGCTCCTGGGGTGATGCCCAGAGCCACAGCGTATGCTCAGCAAACACACAGAGGTTTAAACTGGGCAGGGCTAGAAATGCAGCATTTTGGAGGCCAGGTGTTACCCCCGACATAGAGAAGCTCTTTTTCCCAAGGAAATGGAGCCTGGCAGGAGCCCCCCCCCCTGCCGGCCCCCAGCACAGGGCCCTCCCTATAGCAGGCCAAGTCATGAAGGACAGCAGGCAGACATCCAGTGGCTAGGCTTGGTTGGAGGCCCTGTCCCCAGATGGGTCCTGGGACTACAGGGAGGGCCCATGGCAGTGCCTGGGACAGAAATGGCAGCAGTCACAGCAAGGCTGGGCTAGGAGACAGGGAGGAAAGACGGTGGAGCATGGGTGCCCACCCAGGCATGCCCTGCTCTTTGCCATCTCCTCAGCCTGGAGGTAGGTCAGGGTTGGGGGCAGATGGCTGCTCCCAAGCTAAACCCAGGCCCTGGCACTGGGTGGGTTTGTTAGGAGCCACCATGGTGTGCGAGCAAGCCCAAGGAAGGGGTCCAGCCCTGACACTGCCACTTGGGAGTAAGCAACCCTGAGCAAGACCCAAGTATGCCAAACCTTACCTTCCTCCCTCGAGGTAGAGGCCAGAAGCCTCTGATCCAGGTCACGATAATGGATTAGGAAATGGCACCAAGGAACCTCCTGTAGCAAACTGTGGGTAGGACCCACCTGCCTCGACCCACTCCCCAAGGTGGCCTCTGTGCCCTAGGCTTTCCCTCCTCGCCAGCCTCAACTCTCCAGGAGCAGGACAAGGCCACCCTCAGGTAGTGCCCCTCACAGACACACGGTGGCACTGTTGGGGCTCGGCTGCCTCAGACCCCTCAGCTGGCCACTCCCTGGCTCCAGCCAGCAAGGGCCCAGACAGCTCTGCTCCTGCCACCAGAGGTTGGCGCCTGAGGTTGTGTCCCGCTTATCGGTGTTGCCCACTGATGCCCCGTACCTGTGGTGATTTAAATGGAGGCTTTGGTGCCCTCCTTTGCTGGCCACTGGGCTTGGCCAGGCTCATCTAGACTCATTTGTAATCAGGTGTAGGAGAGCTTCTCCTTCCACGCCATAAGTTGCTAGCTTCTTTTTGCAAACCCTTTCCCCTGGGGACCAGGACATGGGCTATCCATCTCACCTGCCCTGAGCAGCCCAGAGACTGGAAGGAGCCACTTTGGTTTCTGGCCCTGACCTGATCGTGAGTAAGGGGAAATAGTGAAACTGCTCTTACTGTGTGATTTTCACACTCTGACCCACCCAGGTCCCTTTCTGTCTCTGTGTCCATCCAACCCCTGCCACACAAAGACCCCAGTGGATCTTCAAAGGACCAGGCTACTGCTGAGGCTTTGAGAGGGTCCCAGGGGATTTCTGCTCCCCAGGAGCCACCCAAGTGGGTCATGGAGATGTTGCACTCTAGGCCTTTGCAGTCCCTGGTCTGGGTTTTCTGAAACACGGATGGTGGCCTGGGCCCAGTCTGTGTTAGCTGTGCCTTTACTCTGCACAGTGCCCACAGGGAAGACCAGCCCACTCTTCCCTACTATGTGGGCATCCTGGGGACAGCTATTGGGTTCCACCAGCCAGACGGCCTTCCGCACCTCTGCACCTCTCACCTGTCAGGTCCTGTTTCTCTGCCTCCAGTCCCCAGGTGAAACCCCACTCCTGGCTAAGAGCACCCTATACTCCATGCCTCAGACACTGGCTGAGCCCAGCTCCCAGGCACTGGGAACCAGAGTGACAAGACCACCCAGGCTGTGCCCAAAGTGCCAGCCCTGCTGTGGGTGGGTGGTGCCACACTGGACACGCTCCCCGCAAATCCCATTCCCAGTTCAGGCAGCTGCCCCAGCAGAGGTGTTGGGGGTGCTGAGGACGATAGGGGGCCTTCTTGGGATCTGGGATCCAGTGAGTCCCTAACATTCTCCAATTTAGGTGGTTTTGCCAGGTTGAGGGGTTGCCTCTCCATAGCTATGACTCTGCTTTGTCTGGTAGAGGGACCCAGAAGGGTCAGGACCCAGGCACAGAGATTGGGGTTCTAGGTTGTGGCCTATAAATAATGCCAGAAAGGTCAGAGCAAGACTGAGGCTTCCCTTCCCAACCCCTGTGCCCTCCCTGAAGGTGGAATCTGTCCACGTGGCTGGTCCTTTTGTGTGGACTATGGGCCAGTAGGTTAGGCACTGCCTCTACCCCCTACCCCTCCAGAACTGGGTTTGTCTCCCCTGCCTCAGTTTCCCATCCACAGCTTAGAGTTGGATAAAGTGGCTTCAGAGCCTACCTTTCCAGGATCTGTGGGCCAAGATTGGAGCAGTAAGGGGAGAGGGCTTCCCTCAGTCTGAGACCCCAAGCCCCCAGGCAAGTCCAAACGTGCAGGCCCTGCCTGGGGCCTACCAGAAGACCCTGATTCCAGGTGTTTACCTCCCGGTAAGATTCAAGCAGCTTCCTCTTCCTCAGGGGTGTTGGGGGCTCTGGCCATCACAATGTGTGCTCCATCCTCTGCAGAGCAGGAGCTCAGCCCTACCATGCTCTGGGATCCAGGAGGGCTTGGATTGCCAACCCACCCCCATTTCCACAGAAGGGGACAGGAGGAGGGGAGGATGCCACACCTGGGGTCAGAGCCGAGGAGGGTGGGCAGCCCAGTTCTCTTACAAGGTACAGGAAGCCCATCTTCTTTCTCCAAGGTGGGGGCTGTCCTCACACAGCCACATGGGGTAAGGACAACAGTGATGATGGGCTGGCTGTCCCAGGGTCCCACACATGGGTCCCCTGCAGAGCCCATGGGAGGTCACAGCCGAGCTGAGGAGGGTGCTGGGACGGAAAGCAGGGACAAGGACGAGCTCAACTGTGAGTCTGGGGTCTCTGGGGAAAGTGATCTCCAGCCCTGGTGTACCCTGGACTGGCTTAGGCTCCCCAGGAGGCCTTCTAGAAGTCTCCTCAAGGATTTCCCAGTCACAGCTGGCGCCGCCCCCAGAGGTAGCGCCTCTGACCCCCGCCCCACCCACTGGACCCCAGGTGGCTGTGCAGAGCAATGGACGGGTGCGTGGGACGCAGGGCTGGTCGGCGTCGCAAGACTGCAGCCCAGCCGGAAGGGTCAGCATCTGTGGGGCCCGGAGCCCCGCCCCACCGCAGCTCTCCGCCTCCTCCCTCGGGTTGGTTTCGTGGGGCGGGGCTGCCCTCACCCCTCAGCTTACAGTCTCCGAGGGTGTGGGGGAAGGGTGGGGGAAAGAAGAGAGGGGAGTGCGGGGAGAGGGTGTACTGGTAGAGGGTGTGCAGGAAGGAGGGGTGGGGCGGGGCGGGGCGGGGGGGGGGGCCCCGCCCGGGACGCCCCCCCCCCCGCCCCCTCCACGCCCCTGTGCCTCCGGCTGGGCCGCGGCCTTCGCAGGCGCTCGGCCACAGCTGGAACCCATTACGCCCCAGCGCCTCTCGGGACGTCTCGGCTAATAAGTGACCCTCTGTAAATGTTAGGAATGAGTCAAGTTTACGCCGCGCCGCTGCCTTCCCGTTAGAGGGTGGCGCCGTGGATGCCCGAGGGAGCGAGGAGGGGCGGGAGCTGCCGAGCAGCGGCGGGCAGAGGCCTTCCCGGCCTGGGAGGGGCCGCTGAAAGAGCCCGGCCTGACTGGGGTGCTTCCTACCCCCCTGCGGGGCCTCAGTTTCCCCTGTGCAAAATAAGGAAGTCAGGGCACAATGGACGGCTGAGCCCCTTGCACCCGTCTTTCCTCCAAGAAGGTGGGGTTCTGGCAGCTGGATTGGCCCCAAGGGGGTCACAGGCACACCCTACCCTTCTCCCTCTGGACTTCTACTCCCAGGAGACCAGTCACTGCTGCCCAGACCAAGACTCAGTGGAGGTCATCTGGGGAAGTGGTGAGAGAGTGCCTGTCCACACCCTCCCAGGGATGACACTCAAAGCCCTGGAGGAAGGGCCCTCCCCCACACAGGACCAGGGAGTGATTGTCACTGCTACCAGAGTCAAGGGGCCTCTCCAGGTGCCACTCAGAGCCTGGGTCTTGCCGTGACTCTCAGATGTCTATTGCCAACCAATAGGGGGAGATCTCGGTGTTTGGGAAGGTCTAGGTGGAGGAGAGGCCTGTGTCTGGGGACACTTGGACAGGGAGCAGGACATGAAGGATCTGGGGGTGCTGGCTGGGTTCTGGAGGACCAGGTGAGAGTGACAGGGACAGGGGGCAGAACATGCACAGGAAGCCAGCCACTCACCAGGCTGGGCTGAGAGCCATAGCCAGGAGGTCATAGACAAAATCTCAGGGAGGGCTGGGAGAAGATGAGGAGTAGGAGGCCATAACATGGTCACCCACTAGGACCCTGGGTTGGAGGGAGAACTGGGGAGGCCAGGGCAGGGAAGCAGCTGTATCTTTGGGGGTCCTCCGGCAATGGCCTGGTACTCCACAGAAGAGGAGTCTGGTTTGCTGCCTTCAAGAGCCTTTGGGAGTGGGCATCCTCTCCCAGGGTCCCCTTGCAAGCATCGGTCACACTTGCTATTTAATTCACAGCCCTAAATTCACATGCCCTTCAGGTGCCTATGATGAGCTTATTCCTGCAGGGTCTTGTCGGGGTTCCGACTGGTCTGGGATGGGCCAGTCTCTGAGAGCCAGCAGGGCCCCGAGTGTCCTCCCACAGTCAGCAACAGGGCCCTGCCTGGGGGTCATTCTCTAGAGGGCCCACTGGGTCCTCCTGGGCAAAATGCCACTTGGAGCCCAAGACCCCCAAGGCCAATCTCAGGAACCTAGGACCCTAGAATTTCTTGCCCACTTCCCACCCTATTCAAGTCTTGTCTTTGGCAGGTCAGCTGCTCAGGACCCTCCTGGGAAGGAAGGCTGCCCCTACCGTCCCTGCTGTGCTACTGCCCTTGTTGTTCTTCCCTCAGCAGCCCTCCACGGGAAGCCTAAGGGAGAGACGCCCCAGAGGCTCTTCTGTCAGTCTGGCAGGGGTGGAAGGAGAGGGCTCTGATGCCCTCTGTGTGTGCAGTCCTGGGCCTTCCCTGCCCTCCTGTGGGGCCCATACATGCCCCCTGGTGGGAGAGGCCTTTGTAGAGTGAGGTGGGCAGCTGCACTGGGCTCCTTCTGCCGTCCCCCACCTTCCCCCAGCTCTGTGACTGCTAGATGGACTTCAGGCCCTTCCCAGACCCAACCTATACCAGAGGAGAGGAGGTTGGAACTCTTCCCTATGGACCAGAGGCAGAGGCCCCTACCCCCACACCCTGGGTCCACTCAGCCCAGTGCTTGGCATCTGCACAAAGAAGTGGCCAAGCCCAAGGTGGGGTGCAGCACTGGCCTCTCTCAGAGCCAGGGGGTAAGTGAAATCCCACTTTACAGATGGGAAAACTAAGGCACCATCTTTTCTAGTAGTAGCCCCCACTAACTCCAGTGGGCTCATGTAGGGGTCCCTGGCAGCTGTCTAGGGGGCTGCCAGCCCAGGTGTTTCTGTGGTGTTTTTCAGAGGCTGCAGAATACCATTTTGAGCCCTATGGCAAGCAGAGAAGACCGAGCACTGACCATGCGTGGGGAAGGCCAGCAGGCCTCACCATCCCCCCTGCCTGCCCGCATCCGTGAGATCGTAGCCAGCAACCTGGGCGAGGAGCCACCTCAAGGTGAAGGGTAGGGACAGCTGCAGGACTGTTCTGTGGCCAGGCTGGGCCCTCCTGGCCTGTAGGCTCTCTGTAGAGAAGGAACAGATCCACGCCCTCCCATGGTCATCCTCTGGGGTATTGCCTGGACACCCCAGGGCATGAATTGAGCCAGGTCTGCCTTTGTGTTTGTGACACTTTTGTGACACCTGAGTCTCAATTTCATTGGAAGAAGAGTGAAAATCCTAAAGGTGATCACCCAGGAAACACAGCCACAACCCCCTTACCCTGAGCCAAGCTTTGTCCCTTACTGGCCCCACAGAGCTGCCTCTAATTGTCACATTTTCCAGCTGAGGAACTGGCTCCAGGTACTCAGTCCCTGCCCTGAGTTCAGGCTACCTAGCCTCAACGTGTGCTCGGGGCTCCCTGTGGCTGGGCCTGGAACCATTTTCTACCCTGAAGGTCTGTCAGGCTATCTGCAATGCCCAGCTAACCTACTCTGTGTGGTGAGAAAGGACAAACTTGCTGTCTTACCTGGGACCTTGTTGCCCTGAAGCCCCAGGTCTCACTGCTTCACAGGAAGGGTGGGTGCCCAGGGTCCAGGCCACCCTCACATGCTTGGCTATGATTGCCCTGGGACTCAGCATGGGCACGTATTTGGGTTAAAGATGTTGACAAAGGCAGGGAGGTGGTAGGTTGTCCATTAACATGAGAGGCAAGGGGCCCAGAGGGTGAACTCTGCTGCCCCACCTGGGGTCCTTGGGTCAGAACTAGGGCCCTCCCAATAGATGGTGGCAGGTCCGCAGTGGCCTCCCATGCAGACAACATGTAGCCCCCCACCCCCTGCTGACGCTGAATGCTGTGCCCTCTAGGGGTGCAGGAGCTGCCAGCCTCTGAGGCCCGGGTGCAGGAAGAGCATGGGCTTCTACAGCAGGAGCTGACCCGGCTGGAGGAACTACTGGCCCAGACTGGTGCTGAGCGGGATGAGCTGGCCAGCAAGTACCACGTGATCAGTGAACGGGTGAGTGTGTGCCACCGGTATGTAGTAGACAGAAGGGCCCCTCACCACTTAAGGCAAGGCCTAAGACCAGGAAAGACTGTGTATTGTCCCTCGCTTCCAAACTGTGGGCAAAAGATGGTGACGCAAGGGGTGGGGGGAGGAATCAGAGCAGAACAGGTGCCTGGCCTTTCCCTGCTCTTCGCATGTCCCCTGGGTCTCTGTCTGCCAGTTGCTGGGAGGTATGTGGGGGTGGCCTGGTCAGTCCTGACCCACAGGTTTCTGATGCCTAGCCCAATATCAGCACAGAGCCGGCATCTGCCAGGGGGAGGAGGAGAGCAAGCCAGAGGAGCCAACTCCCTACCCCAGACAGAGCTGGAGAGAAGCCACTGTCCCCAGGCCCTCCCTGACAACCAAGGCTCAGACTTCAGGCCTCAGGGACAGGCCCAGCAGTGGTGGGGCTGCAAGCCTCTGCCCCCAGTGACCACAGGGCCTTCCAGGATGACCTGTGAGAGGCAGTGACAGGCATACTTAGCATACAGTGTGAAGCCAGGGAGGGCCTCCTATTGTGTAGGTGGGGAAAACAAGGCAGAAAGGGGAAGAAACTTGCTAGGCCAGAGCCTATCTCCTATGACAACTTCTGAGGCAGGACTGGGCAAGGAGCAACTGTAGGGTGAGGGGTACCAGCCCTATGTGGGGGGCCCAGGGCCTGTGCCTGCCCTGGTGCAGCCCCCATCCCTGCTGTCTTCACAGCCTTCACCACCATGCTCTGCGGCAGGACAGTTGAGGAAACAGAGGCACAGGGTGGGCCATTCCTGGTCTGGCTTTATCTTAATTGTGTGACCAGTGACCAGTGCTAAGTGCCTGAGGGCTCCCTGGTGGCCTTGCCTCTGAAAGAGGTCATGGGAGACTTCTGGGGCTAGAGGGGTCCTCATCTTCTGTGGGCCCTGCTCTCAGCTGCCTCACCCCATTCTGCCATAACTTGAGCCCCACACAGGGAACACCTGTTTTCATGATCACCCTCACCCACCAGGAGCCCCTCAGGGCAGGACTGTGAGGGTCCACCCCATCCTGATGCCATAGTACTCAATGGGCTGCTCTTCCTGGGAGCCCTCTGCAGCTGGGGCCAGATCTGGGTGGGAAATCTTCCTTGCACGGGCTGGAGATGTTGGGAACAGTCTGGTGGGAACAGAAGCCGCAGAAACCCTGTGGACACATTAGTAAGCCCATGAGTCAGACCTGGACTAGAAGATGCTAGCAGCTTGGGCCAGTCTGCTCCTGGCGTCAGCCCTCCCTAGGTATGGGGTGCCAGGAGAGATAGGACCTCGCCCCAAGACAGGTGGGGAGGGGTCTTGGAGGCCAGTGTGCCTGACCTTGGGCACCTCCATCCTGCAGCAGCACTATCAGCACCTACCCCACTCAGCTTCACTGGGGCCATCTGGCCCTTTCCTTCTCTTCCCTCTGGTGGCTCCCACATGACCAGTTGGACACAGCCACAGCTGAGGCCAACATGCTTCCCTGGGTTTTGGCCCCAATGATGGTGGCATGGCCCAGGGCAGGGGGCCCTGGACATATCTTCCTGGGCTCTGGCTATGAGCTGCTGGGCCTGGATCCCCCTGGCCAGACACCCCAGGGCACTGCCTGGGGTCATTGGCCTTGGGGCTATTGGGGTGCATGTGGCAGTAGACATGGTCCCCCCTGCTGGAAGGGGTGCTGGGAACAGAAGTGTGAGCACAGGACTGGGGGAGCACAGTGTTCCCCTGTTCTACAGCTGGGCCACAGTAGTTGGCCCTGGGGCCTCAGTTTACCTGTCTGTGAGCAAAGCCTGGGTGTGCTCTAGCAACCCCAGAGCCTGCCTCCCACTGGGTCAGCCACACTTACACTATGTCCAGGGCATTGGGCCCATCATTTGGAGGGGCCTGAGCCTCTCTAGACCCCACTCTGCCTCTGTTGTGGGACCCCCCCCAGGGAAGCCCTCTCATCCACCCTGGGACAAGCCTTGCACCTGGCAGGTTTGGGAGTGGCTAGGCCAGGTGGGCTGAAGCTCCTCTCCAGCTGCAGGCCCGGCTGGAGACCACTGAGGCTCGGCTGCGAAGGTCAGAGCTAGAGCACAGCGTGGACTTGGAGGAGGCCCTTGGCCGTCTGGAGGCTGCTGAGGAGAGGTGAGGCCAAGTAGGGGGCAATCAGGGCTGCAGGAAACACAGCCATCACCCCAAGATGCTGTGGGGCTATTGGCCAACTCTTCCCAACATGGCTCCAGGTCAAACTTGCCTGTGGGAGTTTCAGGTCTCCCCAGGTGGGGGAAGGGCTATAGGGAGGGAGGGCCTGGGAGTTGGGACCACCTGGTGGTGGCTTCAGGCAGAGATGGGTCCTCCATTGCTCTCACACTTACCATAAAGGGACATAGTTTCCTCATCTCTCAGGGCCAGGGCACAGACAAGGAAATGGTCAGCCTGGCCTGGCCCTGATATTGTACCCCCTCCCTCTCCTAGAGTAAGGCAGCTCTGACCACAGATAAGGGCCCTGCCTGCCTGTCCAGGGCGGCATCTCACACTGCATCATGAACACAGGAGCGAGAGACCCCACTCTCCGTGCACATGCACTAACATTAGGACCTTCATTTAGTGTCTGGGTCACCCCCACCCTCCCTCCCCGTATGTCCTCACGACCTAGAAATGGCAACAACAACGCTGTCCTGCCTGTGCCTGCTGAGGGGAGGGAAGGTTTGCAGGCAGGTGAGTGGCCTCACCAGCCCCGGTGCTGCCCTAGGGGCTCCCTGGCCCTGATCTCCTGAGATGCCACCAGCAAGACCCTGAAACAGGCTGTAGCAGGTGCTCAGGCCATTACTGGGGTCACCCCAACCCAATTGTGGCCCCCATTAGGCCCTGCCAGCCCCAGGCTACCCTCACCACCCCCACCACCACCCCCCATTCATCCCAGGTCTTAACACCCAGGTCCTCCTGGCTTCAAGTCTCTCTGATGTCAGTCTGACACCTTTGTTCACTGTTGGCAAGCGTGTCATACAACCATCCCCCAGCATCAACCCAGCCCCTCTCACAAACCCTGCCCCAGCAGTAACCCTGCATTCCAATACCAACTCAGCCCCCAACACTAACCCTGCACCCCAATAACAGCCCTATCACCCAACACCCCAACATTGACTCAGCCCCCCAACACAAACGCTGCACCCCAATACCAACCAAGTCCCCCAAACTAATCTTGCTCCCCTGGCACCAACTTAGTCCCTCAATACTAATCCTGTACCCCAACACCAACTTAGCCCCCCACCTGTACCCGTGCAAAGGAGGGATCCATGCAAGGCAGCCTGGGAGGGGCTCAGGCTGCCAGGCAGGGTTAGCAGCTGGTGGGATCCTCTCATAGCTCTTCATCCTTCGATGCCCAGGAAAAGTAATAAAGTGCTGAGAAACATTTTGGGAACTTGTTTTGATGGGGGAAGAGCAATCCAAGTGGAGGCCTTGTGAGGATGAAAGAGTAGCCAAAAGTGACCTGCTGTGGCCCGTGAGGAGCTGGGCTCACAAGGGGTCCCTGGCTGTAGCATGTGTAGGCCTGCTGTTAGTGGAGAAGGGCCCTGAGCAAGGGTCAGGAGAGGCTGTCCCCTCCCAGGGACATGCCCCACTCCTCTTCCACCCCCACCCCCCAGACCTCTGTACCTTGTCTGGGGCATTGAGGACCAGCCAGGGCTGTGGGGGCAGAGCCAGGAGAACAGGGGTGGGGTGCGGGGATGGAGAGCACTGGGCTGGCACCTGGGAGAGCCACTCTGATTCTAGCCCTCAGTCTGAGGGGTTACTGTGGGGCCCACTGCAGGTGGTCAATGCTACCTAGGAGCAGAGCAGGAATGTTCACCTGAGCTAGGGTCAACCTGCCCAGGGGCTTGGGGCTCCATTTGAGCCTCCCAGTTTGGAGACTGGAACTCCAAACACCTCTCTAAGGAGAGGCCACCCACCCCCTGTCATGCAGCTATGGGTTCTGTCTGTCCAGGAGCACGGGCCTCTCCCAGGTGAATGCCCTCCTGCGGGAACAGCTGGAGCACATGAAGAAGGCCAATGATGCGCTGGCCCGAGAGCTGGCCCGGACCACAGGCAGCGTGCTCCGCCTGCGCCGCCAGCTGGACCTGAGACCCTGGGCCCAGAGAGAGGTGTGCCCCCCTCTCACCCACTGGGCAGCCACCTGCTCAGGACCTGTGGCCAGGTAGCAGGGACCAGGAGAGGATGTACTGGCTTCAGGGCAATCCCATTTTCTCTCGGAGCCTTAAAGATGCGCTTTCTCTGTCTTCCGGCTTTGCTGTTGCTGCTGAGAAGTCAGCTTCCCGTTCCTCTGACTCTGACTAACTCTTCTTGAGGTGATTTGTCTTCTCACTCTGGCTGCTGTTAGGGTCTCTGCTTCAACTCTGGTGTCCTGCGGCTTTACTAAGATGAGTCTGTGTGTGAGTTTTTTATTTGTTTATACTGTTTAGGGTCATAAAGCCTCTGTGTCTTCATTATCTTTGGAGAGCAGCCGTTGTTTCTCCAAATATGCCTCCTCTGAGCTCCAGCGTTCTTATCTTGTCTCCCAGGCTCATGAATGTTCATAGTTTTGTTCTTTCTGTCATCCTGGACTACATTCTAGATACTTATTTAAATCTGCTTTCCATTTATTACTGTTCTCTTACGTCTAATCTCTGTTAAAACTGCCTACTGGGTTAAAATTCCAAGTATTGTATTTTCCATCTTTAAGAGTTCAGTTTGATTTTTTCCCAGATGTCTTCCTCTTAACTCATATGTTCAAGCCTCTTGTCTATTGGTGCATCTACAAAACAGTGACTTTGTAGTCTGTGTCAGATGTTCTAATATCTGACATTTTTCAAGGCCCAATTCTACTGTTTCTGCTGGCTCCTGATCATGGTACTTTGCTTCGTTGTGTCTGTGATGATTTGTTGTTGTTGTTTTTCTTTTGCCTGAAACTACCTGAATCCACTTTGAGTGGCCCTAGACTCAGCTGTCTGTCCTGAGCCCCTTTGGTCAAGGAAACTGACCTTCAAGTTACTCAGTTTGGTGAGAAATTGCCTCCCTTCATCTCTGTCCTCTGACTTCACCAGCTCCTGCCTTGAGTATTCTTCACTGTTTTGACCAGTCCAGCCTTGCATTTCAGAAGTTGTTAAGTCCGAAATCTAATATATTTATGCAGCAGATTGGTTCAGGCATCCTCTCCTCTGTGTTTGGGAAAGTGTCTCATCCTGCTCAGATGCTCATGACCAGACAGTGGGAAGTGGCATAGCTAAAGCCAGCATGCACCTCTGTACTCCAGGCACCAAGTAGCGTGCCCTGAAGAAGGGGTACAGCAAGGTATCACTGGGATCAATGGGGTGACCTCAGAGTTGGGGTCAGGTGCAGGGGTCAGCGAAGGCTTCATGAAGGAGAGGTAGCTTTGAGGGTCGTGCCCAGGTGGAAGGTGAGTGCACGCCCTCTGAAGGTAGGATGGGAGCTGTGGGTGGGACTGGGATAGGCAGGGAGAGGTGGGGAACACAGGAAAGCTTCTGGGCTCCCAGAGGTCAATGTACAGGAGACTGCAGGGTGGGGACTGGGAAGGTGGTATGGGGACTCCAAGAGTACCGTGGGTCTTGGCCTAGCAGGGGCCAGGTCCTGCTTCAGGGGAGCTCTGTCCCTGGGTAGGTCCTAGACCCTAGAGCCACCCCTCCACCATTAGGCAGATACTGTGGGGCACCCACCACCATTCTCATGGGTGGCCCTGGTTGGAACCAGGTGTGGGATTCTCCTAGGGAGGGACACAACAGTGTCCTCCTATGGGGGCGGGGTGGGGGCCTCAGTTGCCTCTAGGGCATGAGACTTTAAGACCTGGCAGGTGGGTGGTGCCTGTGGCTCAAAAGGGTAGGGCGCCAATCCCATATGCTGGAGGTGGCAGGTTCAAACCCAGCCCTGGCCAAAAACGGCAAAAAACAGCAAAAAAAAAAAAAAAAAGACCTGGCAGGTGACACCTAGTCCACTTCCTCTCTCCATGGAACCAACCCGGTGTGGCATCTGGAAAAGACTGGGTTTGGGGGAGGCTGAATGGGCCCCAGCCTGAGGTGGACATGGGCCTCTTGCTTTCAGACCTGGGCAAGGGGCCCAAGGAGGCCCCAGGACTTCCTCCTCCTATGGAAACAGGCCATGGCGCTTCGAACGCACCTGGCTGAGCTGCGCACAGCCACCGAGAGGTGAGTGCCAGCCACCCTACCTGGCGTCCATGGCTCCATGCGTGGAGAGAAGGGGCTTTGCACCCTCAGTGAGGCTCCTCTACAGTGCAGCAGGGCTGGCTCTGGGCCCCTTCCCAGGCCTTGTCATGGCCTCCAGATGGTGGGAAGGCATGGTGACAGGGCAGCGGATAGAGAAGCAGCAGGTGCAAGCATCATGGGATGCTGGGGGTGGGAAGTGGACCTCAGAGCAGTGACGGGCACCACGGGGACACTGCCTGGATGGTGGTCCTGGAGTCAATCCAGCCCCATGGGAGCCTCGGACGGTCCTGTCCTGGGTTGCGTCGATAGCTGTCGAGGCACATAGCACCCCAGGTGCACACGAGAAGACTGAGACTCCTGCCAGAGCTGGCTACATCCCTACCTGCCCCTCCCGCTCTGTCCCCTGGCATTCACAGCCAGTCAGTGCCTCAAAGTAGGGGCTCCCCCTGAGGATGGTCAGGAAGGGGGGGCATGGGTCAGGCCAGCCTCTCCTAGGTGGAGCCCAAAAATGGGTCCTGAGGCTCAGCAGTGGGTGCTGCCCTTGTCTCCCAGGGGTCTCACTGACATGCGGGCAGATGTGGCCAGGACAGCCCAGTGTCTGCACATGGCCTGCCTGAACCTTGACTCCAACCTGCAGCTGTCAGCCAGCAGCGCCACCAGCACCCTGGGGCAGCAGCTGCGGGACAAGGTTGGAGAGATGCTGCAGCTGCAGAGCCGCTGGGATGCAGAGAAGGTGGCGCTCCAGGCCAGGTGCGTGCCCAGCAGCAGCTCAACAGGGAAGGCCAGAGGGGCAGGGGCACCCTAGCATCACACGCAGTTGGGTCTCTGATGTCCACCTGACATTCTGACACTGGAGACTTTCACTTGAACCAATTCCCCTGGAGGGAGAAGTTAGCATCTCCCTAACTTCCAGGATTTCAAGGAACCTTGTGGTTGGTTTCCAGGAGTGGAATTTTCAGGTCCACAAGCAGAAACATTCTTCCAGGGATGGGGACTTGTCTTAGGTAAAGCATTTAAGAATCTGAGGCAGGCAGAGGGGCCAAGCACCCTCCTACTTCAGATCTGTGAGCCTCTCAGCACAGAATGTTCTGGACATGCAACCTATATCTGTCTCTTAAGGGTAGCTTCAGCAGAAACCCGGGGGGCAGCCCCCCAGTGAGGGTCCAACCTGCTGGCCATGGGCTGCATCCACAAAGCTTGGGGTCTAGGGCTGGTTTGGCGACAAACACCCTGCTGGCTGACAGGCACAACACCATCCTCTACTCTTGGGGACCAAGTGAGTCAAACATTACCCAACCCAGCCACAGAGGAGCCCAGGGTGTGCCAGCCAGCCTTCTGCGGCCTGCAGGGCAGCACTGCAAGGCCTGGGCCAAGTGATCTGGAGCCACAGGAAGGAAGGGAGACCCAGGTGCCATGGGAGAGCCACTTATTCATTGTTAGACTGATGGTGATAGAGATGCAGGCAGAGGGCAAAGGCCTGGCCCAGAGGTGAGCACACCATCTGTTGTGCTACAAGGCAGGGCACAGAGAGCCTCAGGTAGCTACTGGGTGTGAGGCTGGAGAGTTGGGCCAGGATGTGGGCCTTGAATGCTGAACTCGGGGGCTGCAGTTTATTCCTGAGACAGTGGGAGCCATTGAAGGTTCTATAGCAGGACAGACATGTGATCCAACCCAGCACCAAAGCTCACTCAGAGGGTAGCCCCAGCACCAGCAAAGAGGTTGATGCCAGCAGAAGTCTAGAAGATGCCAGGGTACCTTCAGGGCCTGTGCCCCAAGTTCTAGACTCTGCTCTCTGCCCTACCCCACATGCCCCACCGACCTCTCCCCAGACTCTCGGAGCAAACACTGCTGGTGGAGAAGCTCATGGAGCAGAGTAGGCAGAAGGAGAAGACCATCGCTTCCCTCAATACAGATGTTCAGAGGCTGGTTCGTGTGGCTGGGAAACAGGGTGGCTGAGCTGAGGGTATCTGTCTGCCTTGCTGAGGAGTCCCCACCCCACTGGCTGCAGGAATCCCAGCGCAGTGGAGGCCAGGCAGCAGAGGACAGCTTGAGGAACGAAGTCCGGTCTCTGCGATGCATTTTGGCGAGCATCACCAAGGTGCGGGCCTGTCTGCCGTCCTTCCTGAGAAAGGAAGAACTGACTCACAGGGACCTTGGGACAGTGGAGATGGTGGGGCAGTCCCCTGAGTCATGGCCTTATGCTCTCCCCCTGCCCACCTTCCTCTCTGCCTGGAAGGAAGCCCAGGCAGACCTGGAGCTGGCCCGGAGCAGCAGCACTGAAGGGGAAGAGCCACAGAACCCATGGAGAAGCCCCCCACGCACCATGTCCCCTGCCAAGGAGGTGTCTCCACCACGGGCCCACCCCCGAGCTACCCTGGACCCCACACTGCAGTCTGTGCAGGCAGCCATCAAGAGGCGGCAGCAGCGGGAGCAGGTGGGCAGCTGCAGCCCAGGGGCCACCAGAGGCAGGACACTCTCCCAGCTAGGTGCCCTTACAAGGCTTGCCCCTGCACCCCACAGCCTGGGGAGTTGGGAGCCCTGGCCGTCCTCTGTGGGCACAGGGTGCCCAGGCCAGAGGGGCTCACACCGTGGCACCACTGGGCAGGAGCTGCACCTGAAGCTGGAGTCATCCCGGGCCGTGTCGGCCAGGCTCCGCAAGCAGCTGTCAGAGAGCCAGTGGGGGCTGCGAGCCTCACAGCAGCTCCTGCAGGAGTGGACCTGGGAGCGAGAGGCCCACAGGCTAGAGGTGCAGCACCGCCAGGCGTCCCCCATGCTCCCAGGAAGGTGAGAGGTCTGGGAAGGGCTAGGGGATGACTGGGCTAGAACAGCCTATCCCAGGCACCCTCTAGTGATGAGGCCCTCTGCCAGAAGAGAGAAAGGGCCATCTACCAATGAAGCCTGCCCGTGTCCAGGCCTCCTTCACCCCGGATGCACTGAGGGTACCCCACTGCCTCATCTGGGTCCCCCTGGGCTGCACTGATCCTGGACTTCCCTTCCCACAGCTGAGACTGAGGACACCCACTGCCCTCTGCCTCCATCCAGGGCCCCCACAGCCCATGTAGCCCCTAATCACCCCTCAGGCCGTACTCTGCCTCCCACCTCCTGCCTGGCTTCCACCTATCCCTCTGGGGGATTCATCCCTCCTCCTCCCTGGATCTCACCCATCCTTCAACAATGGCCCAGAAAAACCCAACTCCCCTCCCCCATCTCTTGGGTGGCACCTGTGTCCTCCCTGTCCAGTGGATCTGGTGGCTCCAGGTGCATTCAGCCCAGATGCTCTCTGGATACCTCTGTCCAGGTCTCATTGCCCTGGGGTTGTTGGGGTGAGGAGCCTGAGTTCAGAGCAAGAGGCTCTGCAAGGCTTCCCAGATCTGGACAGGATGAGAGAACAGGCTGAGCACAAGGTGGAGTGAGCCACCAGGTCAGGAGGGCTTCCTGCAGGAGACAGAGAGAGGGAGAGGGGTGCCTCACCCCATGGGGAGCAGAGACAACCCCCACCTCTGAGCACTCATTCCTCTCCATGACAAAAACAGACTGTGACATCCCTTTGAAGCCACACCTCTAAACCACCCAGGAGTGCTGGGTGCTGACCCCCAGTCCCACCCTGAGAGGCACAGGGAGGTGGGCACAGAGATGAGGGTGGATGGATCAGCCTTGCGCAGGGGTATGGGGATCCAAGTCAAGTGCAGGGAGCGTGGGAGGCCGGAAGCCTGGAGGGGGCAGGAAGGGCCTTCCCAGCATAAACCAGCCACCTCAGACCAGGGTGAGCTGGGGTCCCAGGGTGAGCAGCAGAGCCCATAACACAGAAGGGGCTGTCCTCTGGGGACAGAAAGTGGCAGGGCCACAGGAGCTGCCATAGGTGAGAGAGCACAGTGGAAATGGCATCAGGAGGCTGCTGGGGAGAGGCGGGTAGGCGATGTCTCGGGGCAGGGGCTAACTCCGGGGGCCTTGGGCATGGGGGCCAAGGTGGTGGGGAGCCCTCCCATTCAGAATCTGCCATGGGTGGCTAGTGAGAAGGCCCCAGGAATGGGCCAGTCACTGAGCACAACTTGGCATAGGGTGTGTGGAGCCCTGAGGGTCGGGGCTGGAGCTCGGGAGAGCTACAGTCAGGGTCTGTCCCCTCCTCCCAGCAGAGTTCTGCAGGGATTGCTTGAGCGGGATCCTGTGTGCCCCTGGGCTCCCTCTGCACCCTGAATGTGTGTGGCCACCCTGTGCTTCTTCCACACCCTCTTCCCTGGCTCCCAGGGAAAGGGCGCCTCTGGAGACTGCAATAGGGAGGCTGGGGGTGCAGAGAAGCTGAGCTGCAGACAAGCCTCCTGCTGCCAAGCAGATCGGCTGACAGAGCGCAGCTCTGCCACCAGTGGGCTGCCTGCCTGTGGGCTTTCACCACCCCACAGGCCTCAGCATTCACCCATGGAATGGGGTTTCCTCACCAGCTTCATCTCAGAGAGTCAGGCTGTCCCTTATGAGGCAGGGGGCCAAGGGCTCTCCAGGCCCTTCCCAGGCTGTACTGACCTCCCAGACCCAGATTCCTGCTCCTGCTTGGTGCCCTGCCCTGATATCAGTTGGCCACCCTGTGGGCCCTGCAGGAATGAGCACCCTAGCACATGTGGCCTGAGGACATCACCCCACCCTCAACCGGCCATGCCCTCACAACTGCCAGCCCCACAAGGGACTCCACATTTCTTCTGGCCACCTGCCCTGCCCGTGGGGCAGCCGCAGCTAATGCTGAGGCAACCTCATGCCCTTTGCCTTCTGGTCTTGGGCCTCAGTCAGGAGCGTCTGCAGCAGCTGGAGGAGAAGGTCTCGGCACTCAGAAGGGAGCTGGCGTGGGCCCAGGAGGCACTGAGCACAGCCCAGATGCAGAGGGACATCGTGGAGAGCGAGAGGGAGGGCCTGCGTGGGGCCTTGGCCCGGGTACGCCCTGTGCCCTTTTCCCTGACCGCCCCAACCTGCCCTGGATGCGCTGACCTCCCACTCCCCTCTCTCATATACGCCTGAGCCTTCCACTGTCGCCAGAGCTCCCAAAGTCATTGACAGTCTCCTATCCCCAGCCAGTGGGCTCCAGCCTCACCCCTGACCACTCGTTGCTCTTAAACCTATGGCCATGTCTGCTTCTCAGGGTCTCTGCCAGGGCCGCCCACCCCCTCTCCTGGCTGGAGCCCCAGTACTCAGAGGCCACCTCACTGTCCCAGCCCTGGCCTCCACAACATGGCTCATGCCTTCCCTGGCACCAGCAGCTCTGCCAGGGGCCTGAAGGTCCCTCCCTGGTGTCCACCTTACCCCAGGCCGAGTCCAGCAACACTGACCTAGAACTGCTTGTGAGGCGGCTAAAGTCAGAGGGCGTGGAGCAAAGGGACTCCCTGGCCCAGATGGCCACCCTGATGGAAGGGTTTGCTCAAGACAAAGCCACCTTGAACCAGCTGGTCCTCCAGGTGAGGTGACGGCCAGGTGGGCAGCTCTACCCTGGGCCTCAGTTTCCCCCAGGGGAGCTGTGAGAGACCCCCATCCCAGTGCTGCTTCTCCTGGCCCAGGCCTCCAGGCACCCATCCTCCCAGACTTTCCCGTTCCTGGACTGAAGCTACTCCCCAGGAGCAGGTTTTAGAGGGGGAATGAGGGGGCCTGAGGGAGGGTAGGTCTGGGCAGGGCTGCCCAGCCCATGGAGCTAAGGGTGCCCCCCACCCCCCGGCAGGTGGAGCAGCAGCGGGACCGTCTGCAGGAGCAGCTGAAGGTGCTAGAGCAGGAGAGGGCCAGTGCCCAGGAGCAGCTGGCACAGGCTGAGCAGCAGCTGGCGCAGGAGCGGGCTGAGCTCAGGGACCTGCAGCAGGCCCGCAGGCACATGGAGCAGCAGCTGGAGCAGCTAGAGGGGCAGGTGGCCCTGCTCAGCCGTGAGAAGGCCCAGCTCCAGGAGCAAGTGGACCAGGTGAGACCATGTTCCACACAGCAGGACTATAGCCAAGCAGGGCAGAGGCTGTCCCAGGTCCTGCCACTGCTCAGAGTCCTGTGGGCTCAATGACATCTCTAACACTTTCTGACTGCCCTGCTGACTAGTCTGTCCTGGGCAGGGCAGAGGAGAGGTATGAAGAGAAAAGATTCACATCAGTCCTGTCCTGCCCACTTAAGGCCAGGGTCCACCCTTTCCTTCTTGTCTCTCCTTGTCCCACATCCACAAAGCTGAGCTCTCCAACCATGCATTCACCCCTCATTTTTTTTTTCTTGAGACAGGGTCTTGCTGTGTTACCCCAGGCTAGAGTGCCCTGGCATCATAGCTCAAGCAGTCCTTCTGTCTCAGCCTCCCAAGTAGCTGGGACTACAGGCATCTAACACTACACCTGGCTAGCTTTTCTATTTTCAGCAGAGATGGGGTCTCGCTCTTGCTCAGGCTTTCTTGGACTCCTGAGCTAAGGAATCTTCCTGCCTCGGCCTCCCAGAGGGCTGGGATTGCACTTGCTGCTCAGCCACATTCCTGTGCTCACGCATTCATTCCCAATCTGGCTACCTATTGTTGAGGTTTGTCTCAGTGGAGAATGAAACCGAAGTCGAAGTCGTTTGGGTCTTTTCCAGTCTGGCCTTATCTGTGTATGTGAGGCCTGCTGAGTCACAAGCCCCTAGTGCCATTCAGATTCATGCCCATTTCACGCTGGGGACAGCACAGCCGCTTTTGAGACTCTGTCCTGTCTCTTTTTTTTTTTTTTTGGCATCTTTTCCCCTTTTTATTGCACTGTAATCTACTTTCAGTCAGCCAGCCACACCAAGATCAAGACTTGGAACACCTCCTTCAGCCTAGAGCCAGTGTCCTCAAACTACAGCCCGCGGGCCACATGCGGCCCGCCAAGGACATTTATCCGGCCCGAGGGGTATTTTTGCCACCGCTGCCTGTCCTGCTTAGCAGCCGACTTGTCCCAGGGCCCATAGTCCGGCCCTCCAATGGTCTAAGGGACAGTAAACTGGCCCCCTTGTTAAAAAATTTGAGGACCCCTGGCCTAGCGTGTCCCCTTGTGCCCATCCAGGCACTGCCTGAACTCCCTGCCTCCAGCCCAAGCAGCCTCTGCCTCAGTGTGTAGCACCAAGGACTGTTTACACCTGTTTTGAAGTTTCTTGTAAATGGAGTCATGCTGTACGGACTCTTTGGCATCCAACTTCTCTCTCTCTTGACTGTGAGATTCAGCCACGTGGTTAAGCATACCAATAGTCATATTCCATGTGAATAAAGCACATTTGTTTACTCATTCACTTGTTGGACATCTGGCTGTTTTGGGTTTAGGACTGTGATGCATAAGCCAGACATGAACCTTTCTGTATAAGTTATATTCATATGCACTCACTCTTCTTGAGTAAATACATTAGAACAAGATTGTGGACTCAGGCCTGCTGCAGGCCCCTGAGCAAACATGTGGGAAAAAATAGTGTAGGTAAGTGTATGTTGATCTTTATAAAAAAAAACTGCATAGCAGGGCGGCGCCTGTGGCTCAAAGGAGTAGGGTGCCGGCCCCATATCCTGGAGGTGGTGGGTTCAAACCCAGCCTCGGCCAAAACTACAAACAAACAAACAAAAAAACTGCATAGCAGTTTCCAGAGTGGTTGAATTGGTTTTTTCCTGCTGCCAACAGTGTAGGAGGGTTCTAGTTGCTCCTCAGCCTTCTCAACAGTTGGTATTATCTGTTTTTATTTCTTGCCTTTTCTATATGTGTTAAGCTGTATGTTACTGAGATTTTATTTGCATTTCTACAGTTCCTTCCTCAATGTGGTGAGCACATTTTTATGTGTCACTGGATATATGTGTGCCTTATGTCAAGGGTCTGTTCAAGTCTTTTGCCAACTTTTTTTTTGAGACAGAGTCTCACTTTGTCAGCCTCGGTAGAGTGCTATGGTGTCACAGCTCACAGCCACCTCAAACTCTTGGGCTTAAGTGATTCTCCTGCCTCAGCTTCCCAAGTAGGTGGGACTACAGGAACCCGCCTAAACACATTTTTTGTTATAGTTGTTATTGTTATTTAGCAGGCCCAGGCCAGGTTCGAACCCACCAGCCCCCATGTATGTGGCCGGTGCCCTAACCACTGAACTATGGATGCCGAGCCTTAGCTGCCAATTTTTGCTCATATTCTTAATCCCTCAACCCTATACTATTCATGAATTACAAATATATATGTTAAAAAGCAATACCATTAAAAAAAAAAAAACGCAAGATACAATAGAATCTCAGGCTTACCTCTGGGCATTTCCTCCCCTATGGTAGCTCAGCCCCTGAACTCCAAGTTGTGTTTCCTAAGCCCCATATTTCCACTGAGACCTTAGACCAGGTTCCCAGCCTTTTAGCAAAAGTGTCATCCTGGCTCCTGGAACTCAGGCCCTGTGCCACTTAGGGTCTGGCACATACTTTAAGGGGGAAATCTGTGGCAGGATTTCAGGCTCACTTTGATCCATTCCTCTCAATAATCCAGCTCCCGGGACCCACTGCCTTGACATCTTCCTGATGCTGTGAAGCAGATTACGGGTGGCCTGTGGTGTGGCTTCCTAGTTGCTCTGGATAGGAGGGTTGGTCTTCAACTGTCACCTGTGCTCTTATGCGAAGCAGAAAGTCCTGGTATTCACTTTTGAAGAATATTTTCATGGGGTACAGAAAAGTAGGATGGTTATTATTTTCTTTCAAGAATTTGACGAAGTCAGTCCCTTACCTTATGACTTCCAGTGTTGCTGTTCAGAAGTTGAATGTCAGTGTTATTGTTACTGATTTAAAGGTAATGATTTTTTCCCTGATCTTTAGAAATATTTTTCTTTAGCTTTGGTTTCCAGAAACTTTACTAAGATGCATGTAAATGACATTTTCTTTTTTAACTATACTCTGGGATAATTAAAATCTGTAACTAGGTATTTCTTTGGGTTTGGAAGATTCTTGGCACATATCTGTTCCCTCTTTCTGAGGCTCTACGTACACACATGATGCAAATTTTACCTTGTCCTGTGTGTCTACAATGTTCTTTAATGCACTTTCCTAACTTTCCCCTTCATAATTCAGTATGAACATCCTTCTGTGAGCCTGCCTGATCAGCAGTCTTCTCTTTTATCCTATCTGCCCTGCTACTGAGCCCGTCTATTAATTTATTAATTTTGGTTGTTGTATTATTTATATTCAGTATCCAGTTCTATTGTTAAATTCTACTTCTTGCCATCCATCTTCTTGAACATACTAATCAGCTATTTTAAAATCTGTATCTGATAACTCCAATATCTGACAGTGAGAGGTCTATGTCTATTTTCTTTTTTTTTTTTTTTCTATGTCTATTTTCTATGTTTATATCTGAGTTTCTAGTCAGGTAGGTTCATCCCTTGATAGCCCCAGTCATGCAGTATAAATGCCAAGCATCACATATGGAAAGTTATAGAAATAATTTGAGAGTCGTTCTGATGCTCTTCTTCTTCTAGACAGGATTTACTTTTGCCTCTGGGAGGCAGTGAAGGTAGGAATGATCCCTATAATCCAGTGACTGGGATCGTCTGTACTGGAGCTTCGGTTTTTATGAGAGGTTATCTATTTCTGACTCATCACTCCTAGCGGGGGCCAAGCCTTTCTCTGAATAAAACTCAAAGCTTGGGATGTTGATCAGAGCCTCTCTGCTTTGGTGGCTCTGAACTCCCATTTTTATACTCCTAAAGGCCACAGCACTTCAGAAGCTCCCCTTAGCGTCTCAGCTTCTCCTCCAAACCCTTAAATCAGCAGATGCATGGAGGAAAGAAGAGACACCGGCAGCTGGGCTCCCTCCTCTGTCCCCTCTCTCAAGGACCTTGGCTCCTTCAGTCCCAGTTCCTTCTGCAGCTCTCTGAGGCCTCCAACATATTCCTGTGACATTTTTGGGATGTCCTTAATGGAAGAGTCAGTCTGCAGCAATCCATCATATGTCATCTTCCATTGTCATTTCTGTGCAATGTTTCCTGTCCCCTGGACACTGGTCCAGCAGATAGTACCATTTAGATTGGCAGTTGGCTCCTACCTGGCAATGCCCAGTTCAGCAACATCTCCACCATGGGTACAGGAGTGGACGCCCTCTCTTTTGGAAAAACACACATGTACTTCTGACATCCGATGTGCCTTGTGTCCACCCAATGCCATTCTGCATGAAATCCCTTCTTCTGAAGCCCTTCTTGTCCCTCAGCTGGCCCCTCCACACCCTCCTGCTCAGTCTCTCTCCGCTGGACTTCCCCTCCCACTTCCCTCAGGTCACATGCGGGAAGCAGGCCCTGGAGGAACAGCTGGCACAGAGCTTGCAGAACCAGGACGCCCAGTTGGACACTCTACAGAGAGTGCTGCAGGAAAAGGGTGCTCTATCTGAGGAGCGGGCCCAGCTGCTGGCCACGCAGGAGGCCCTGGAGAGGCAGAGCCAGCTCGTGGCCAAGGAGGCAGCTAATCTGAGGTACCCCAAGGCCTGCTAACTGGGATATATCCACATGGCCTCACCCTTGGAGAGCCCACAGTGTGGTGAGGGTGACACTCGTACAGCGATGTGGGACAGGGCATTGTGTCAGCACATGTGACAATGGCCATGGGTGGGGTGGAGCATCTAGAGGAGACTAATCCAGGGAAGCCCTGGGTCGACCTCCTGGAGGTTGGAGGCCAACCACAGCCAGTGGGAGGCAGATGTGGAAGGTCTTTCTCAGAGATCTGAGGCCCTCAGGGTGAGCCAGCTTCAGGTGTGCTGGATGCAGCACACCCATGGAGCCCTCCAGACCCGGCCTCCCCCTTCCTCAGTGCTGCCTGACCCTGAGGGGATTTCATTCCCAGGCAGGCTTGCCCGGAGAAGTGGCAAGATGGCAGTGGCCACTTGGCAGCCTCTGCCAATAGGCATCATGCATCGTTTTCCCCACAAGGCCCCAGAGCTTCTGCCATTGTTCAACTTGAGCTGCTTGACATCCCTGAACAGGTTCTGGGAGCCAGAAGCTGCAGAGCGTTGGGTTGCATGCCCATCTCTGAAGCCAGGGCAAGGTCATAGAGGGGAGCAGAGTGAGCCCAGGACCATAAGGGGCAACTTCTGAGGGTTGAAAGTGGTGCTCACAGGCCAGGACAATGGGTGCCTGTGGGCTGTTGCCTGGTGAACTGAACTGTTGCTGTGGCTTCTGTGGAAATCCCAAGGCTAGAGGTTTTCTGCACCTCAGCAGCCCTGCTCAGGAACATCTAAGTATTTTTGTAGAACACATTTCCTTCTGGAATTACAGAATCCAGGGGTGTGAGAAATCTGAGTCCCAGATTGCTTGAACTTCTTTGCAGGCAAACCTCTCTTCCAAATACAAGTTTGCACAAAAGTTAGAACAGAGACCAAATGCTGGCTTCTCTGGGTTGGACCCCGCCCACGCTCTCTCCTGGGTCCCAGGTGCTCAGAGGGCCACAGTTTGGCAGCCTCTTTCCTCTTGCAGCATCTGCTGCCCAGAACACAGGCCTGGCCAGAGCCCTCAGCAGCCTAGACCCTGTCTCTGAAGCTCCCTGGGCTCAGCCCTGACCATGGACCCAGGGCCCTGCACACAGGAGCCCTGCAGCCTCCAGAGTCACAGCTGGCTGACCAAGACAGCCAGCCAGGCTTCTGGGTGACAAGACTGCTGGGAAACTTGTCCTGGAGCCACATCTGCCTGGCACACACTCTGGGTGTCTGTCTGCCTGGCTGCGTGGGTGGGAGGGTGTAGTCACTGCCATGTAAAGAGATTTTGGGAGTGTGTGAGGCCCCACTGGCTCTACGCATCTCCTGAGGCTCCCACAGCTCTGCTCACAAAGGGGACACAGCTTTCCAGGTCCTCAAGCTCCCACTCCTGGGCCCTAGCAATGTGGCAGCACATGGACCCTTCTCTCAAGGTACAGTGTGGCCTACTCATCAGGCAGCCAGACGGTGGGGGTTCCTGCCCACCCCAACCCCAAGCAGCCTCGCCCCTGGCTGGAGCACCCTATGGTCTACCAGGCCTCTGTTCAAGTGTATTCAGATCTGTTAGTCTCTTTATTTTTGTCTTTAGGCTTTTGTGTCTGGTTTACAAATCTTAAAAATATTCTTTTATGTTTTTTCTATTGTCTTTCTAGTTCTGCATTGTTTTGTTACTTGCTTTCTTTTATTTATTTATTTTTTTTTTTAATTTTTTTTATTTTTTTTTTTTGAGACAGAGCTTCAAGCTGTCCCCCTGGGTAGAGTGCTGTGACATCACAGCTCACAGCAACCTCCAACTCCTGGGCTCAAGCGAGTCTCCTGCCTCAGCCTCCCAAGTAACTGGGACCACAGACGCCCGCCACAACACCCGGCTGTTTTTGGTTGCAGCCATCATTGTTGTTTGGTGGCCCAGGCTGGATTCGAACCTGCCACCTTAAGTGTATGTGGCTGGCGCCTTAGCCACTTGAGCCACAGGTGCCGAGCTGTTACTTGCTTTCTTAATGCACCTTTTTATTCCATCTGAAATACACTTTTATGTAGAATTTAATTCATTCTTAGAGATTCAGCTGAATGAGATGCCCTGCTGACGTGCTATTCACTGACCTGGCCCAGGCTCTGTGCTGTTCCTCACAGCAGGGCCAACAACTCACCTGTTGTTTGGTGCTCTCTGCAGGGTGGAGAGGGACTCCCTGGAGAGCAGCCTCTTTGAGGCCAAACAGATGGCAATGCAGCTGCAAGCTCGGCAGGAACAGCTGGTGGGAGAAGCCCAGAGAGCCCAGCTGGCTCAGCAGGCCTTGCAAGGTGCTCCCACAAGCGGGTTCCTCTGCTCCCCAACCCCACAGTCAGCTATGCAGGGGCCTTGGAATGGAGCTCAGGCCCCATACATGCTGCTCCCACCCCTCACCCTGCAAGGGCACACATATGGTCCTGGAGCTTGCGTAACTGAAAGAGTCAGCCACCCAGTCTATGAGGAGTAAGCAGGTGCCCTAACCAGGCTGCTTCTGGTGCTGGCCTGAGGCTCTGCCCCATTCCCTGTGCCTGACCCCTGCTCAGCTCACCCAGTCCCTGAGCCTGCCCTCTGTCACTGCATGGGGAGCTACAAAGGATGTAGGAGGTCTGTGTGCACAAACTAGGCCCCAACACACATTTCACCCTACAGAGGAAATGGAGCAGCTGAGAAGCAACCGGGAGGTCCAGGAGGAGCAGCTGCAGCAAGATGTAGGGCGGCTTCTACAGCAGGTGGCACAACAGAAGCAGGATGCGCAGATGGCCCTTGAGAGCCAGGCTCTGGCCCACCATGAGGACATGGCACAGCTCCAGAGGGAGAAGGTCTGCTTCCCAGAAGCCTGTGGCTGCTTGCTGGGAGTCTACCAGGTCCCAAAGAATGGCAGAGCCTTGGCAGGAGGGGCTTTAGGAGACAATGCTCAAAGGTAGAGCATTGAGCGGCCTGTGCCACGGGAGGCCAGGCAATGACATGCTTACCCTTCACAGTTCAAGGGGGTGTTGAAAAGGCCAGACCAGTGTTGGCTGACCTGGCTACAGTCTGAGACTAGGGCTGGAAGGGGCCTTGCACCCTCTGGAGCCCTCCCATGGGTCTCTGCACATCAGTAGCACTGTGGAGCCAGGAACAACTCACAGACAGATACATGTGGGTTGGTGGCTGTTGAGGCCCAGAGAGACTTTCCCTGCTCCCACGTCTCTGTGGGGAAGACAAAGAGGTACAGTGGACCAGACAGCCCCCAGGACGCCTGGGCCAGTTTTCCCTCGGGGCCGCAGGAGCCACTGGTCTCACATGCCTTGACCTCAAGCCTGCCCCTTTCCCTATGTCCAGGAAACCCTGAGTCTGACCCTGGCAGAAGAGAAAGAAGTGGCTGCATACCGGCTGGAGCAGGAGAAGGAGCTGGTGGCAAGAAGTACATCTGAGAGGGATGCTCTGAAAGGGGAAATTCAGAAAATGAGGCAGGAGCAGGACAAGAGCCTCCAACGGGAGCATAAGATGCAACAGGTGCTGGTGGGGCTGGGATGCAGGCTCACACCCACTACACCTGTGCTCTCTGGACCAGCACAGGGAAGCATGGCAAGCACAGCCTTCCTCGATCAGTACTGCTGCAGCTTTGGTCTTACACAGTAACCCTCATGGAAGGACACCCACCTACCTACCCAGCCACCCAACCACCCAACCACCCACCCATCCATCCATCCATCCATCTAACTACCTACCCAGACACCCAACTACCCAACCACCCATCCACCCA